AACAGGCCCCCGCCCCACTAATCTGCTAGGGCAGGGGGGGGGGGGACGGACACTCTAGGGGACCTTTGTCAGTGTGAGCTGTCCACTGTGCGTGGCCTAAGTGGACCCCCAGCTGGGCACTAACGCAGCGCTAAGCTGTCACGGCTGCGTGATGCTGCCTCGTCACAGTTAGATGCCAGAAAGGAGGCTTTGTGACATTCTGTGACATTGTGTTTAGTCAGAGGTAAAGTTTGTATAATAGATGGTTTATCTTGATGAGCTGGTTGTATTTAACAAGCACACGCAAACATTAAACTGACATTAAACCAAGGTGTAGTGAATTTCCAATGTTTCTCTGAAAGCAATTTGCTCAGTTTTTCTTGGAAGGTTGAAATACCTCACTTTGACATAAATCCCAGAAGCCCCTGTCATCCGCTGGCTCTCCCCCCCGTAAAACAGGAAGTCGTGCCTGCTCTTGTTATCATTCTGTAATTTATTTTTGGAAGGGAGTCGAGTGTTATGTTTACGCTCTGAATTGCTACTTGTTCTCTGAATGTTAACAAACTTAACAAACTGCCATGGATGGAGATATTTCCACAGTGCCGGCTGGAAACATTCGTGACGTGTTTATAATTACGTTCCTCCCGGTCGTTTTAATGATCCTTCCGCCAAGGTAAACACGATCATTCAGACAGAAACGCTGGCATCAGAGCAACTCCGACACCTTGCAGGAAACGGACCCACCAGCCAGAAGTGCTCAAACACTCTACATCAAACTGAAATTGGACAGACAGGAAAAACTGCAGAGGTTATGATTCGGAGTGAAATTAATGGGAAGTGTGGGAAAAAAAGGGCCTCGACTGTAATGAACTTGGAAATAAATAAACACGGGGCATTTGCCCCCCTTTCTGGTGCCGTAAACATCTCCACAGCTGCAAACTGCTCTCAGCTGTCTGGAATTATGATGTATGAGCTGCACATTGTGAGAGCTGATCTTTAATACGTCGTAAGTACACAGGCAACTGACTAAGGTCTGGTTCATGCTTCTCGCGGATTCGGTCATGCCACCCCGCGTGCCCTAGTGCCGGACAGTCCGCGTTCCTGGGTGCTCGTACTTGGGGCACCAATGTGCTCGGTAATCGCGTACTTTGACGGCAGGTCTGGGGTAGCGCAGTAGGGCAGAGCTCATTTTCGCTGTGTGGCATGGAAGGTCGTGACCTGGGGACAGGCAGTGATAATAACAGTAGCTACACACAGTACTGTATTGTACCTCGGGCTGACAAACTGCTGCAGCTGCTTAATGTTTTCACGAGCGTCACAAAGCAGTGTGTGCGTTTGTTGTTATGAGCCATTGTATATAACCAAAATTTTTAATATAATAGGCATTATAATAATCTGTTCGTAAGTATAACTTGTCCATTAAGTTGCATGTTCTTAACCTGGGTATTTCTGTGTCTAAAATAAGTATTTTACTGAAACTAACCATGCATCAGGTACCAATATTATGCAAGGAAACAAACAGGTATATGACATCGCATAGCATTCTTCGAATCCGCTAGCCATGTTTGTGTTCAGCCGGTTCAGAGAGGGTA